CCTCCTCCTCCTCCTCCTCCTCCTCCTCCCCCTCCTCCTCCTCCCCTCCTTGCGCCTTGCGCCTTCGCCGCGGGGCCGACGCAGAGTTCTCGGGCGCGCCCTGGGCGCAGCCTTAAGTCGGGCACGCCCCTCCACAGGAGGAGTGTTCAAGAATAGTCAAAAGAATGGTCTGGGGACGCCGTTTCGACTAGTTTTGCTCCTGTCCTCCCTCCTCGTCTCCTGCCCTCCGTCTATCCACTCTACACCTCTTCCATCATCCACCTCCGCGCCCGCGCCCAGCAGCAAGCGGTCCGCGCCACCACCGACCAGTTCGACTGTGACGAGGGCTGGCACGGGTCGAGCGCGGAGGTGCCCCCCCAGCCCCTTTACGGCTTATGATATTCCAACCTACTTTAGCCTGAATTACCCGGAAACGTCGAGCACCAAGAACGTACCGAAACTCGAGGGTGTTCACGTGTCGCGCCTTGGGAGGCACTCGTGCGGCACTGTTTTCGACACTGCTTCGACGCTTTTCTAGGTGCTCGAAATTCTTTCTGGCATACAGTCGGGGCCCTGAAGAAGGAACCCTTTTCGTTGGGCAGGGGCTCCGCGTTCCTTAAATTGTTTCACAGGTTGCCTCAGGTGTTCCTCCTGTTTCCGATGGGAAATCGAAGGATAACTTGTGGAAGAAAGGGGCCTCGTTCCTTATTTGGAGTTCCTGAGGTCAACGCCCCGACTGAATGGTCCTCGAGCACGATGGGGGCAGCGTGGCCCAGGGCCTCCGGATCGTGGGCGCCTCGTTGGCGCCCCGTGCGGGCGGGGGGGGTTGGATCTGGGCGGGCGCGTCGAGGTTCTGCCCAGTGGCCGCCCGTGGGCGGCGCCTCCATGAGCGCCGCCCGGGCGACCACGCGGTCTTTGCCGCGCAGAGCTTACGCCGCACAGCTTGCACCGTAGAGCTCGCACCACACAGCTTGCACCACAGAGCCTACACCACAGGGCCTCCTCCTCCTCCTCCTCCTCTTCCTCCTCCTCCTCCTCCTCCTCCTCCTTGATGGGCGGGCACCGAGTGAGAGCTTGGTAGCCAAGCCAGCGCTCGAGGCGACCACGAGGTCGACGAGGCGACCACGGCATGCGCCACACGGCTCGAGCCACACAGCCCCTTATGCACCACGTGGCTTGCACCAGACAGCTTGCACCACACAGCGTGCACTACGGAGCCTGCACCGCACAGGGTAGCCAACGTAGCTTACACCACAAAGCTTGCACCTCGTAGCTTACACCACATCTCTTGCACCACAGCTTGCAAGTCCGCAGTTCGGCGACTCAGTGTGTTGGGAACCACGCTGGCAAACATTATATTATCGGAGGTTGGGGGGTGAGAGGGTGAGGTCGCAGTGGAAAGGAGAGCTCCCCACTGGGAAATCGGTTTCGGCTTCGTGTCCGTGTCGTGCGTGCAGGCGGGGCGAACATGCGTGGGCACGCGAGAGGAATGATGCCGCCGTGGCTGGTGGCTGTGGAGCCGGTTATGCGCCTCTCCCCCACCGGCGCGCGGTGGCCGAGGGTGTCCCGTCGGTGGCGCGTCGGTGTCCCGTCGGTATCCCGTCAAGTCGTGTTCCTGCTAAGTGGTCTTCTGTTCTGCTAAGTGGTCTTTCGGTGTGCTTGATCATGTTGCCGATTTTGCCTCCTCCACCTCCTCCTCCTCCACCTCCTCTCCTCCATCTCTTCCTCCTCTCCTCCTCCTCTCCTCTTCCTCCTCTTCCTCCTCTCCTCCTCTTCCTACCTCCTCTCTCTCCTCCCATCCTCCTCCCTCCTCTCCTCCTCATCCTATCCTCCTCCCCTCCTCCTCCTCCTCCTCTCCTCTCACTCTCCTCCCTCACTCTCGCCTCCTCCTCCTCCCACTCCTCCTCCTCTTCCTCTCTCCTTTTCCTTCTTCACGTCCTCCTCCTCATCATCTCCCCTCCTCCCCAGACCTCCGACGTCGCAACGGTTTCATCTTGGTCGTTTTTCGGCGGGTTTTGAGCCCAGAACCGGCCCCTGGATGCCGAGACGGAGGAACAAATTCGAGCTGCGTTTTGTTCGAGACGTTGGAGGTCTGGGCTATCGTCATCCTCTCCTCCTCTCCTCCCTCACTCCTCCTCCTCCTTCCTCCCCTCCTCCTCCTCCCCTCCCTCTACCCCCTCCTCCTCGTCCTCGTCCTCCTCCTCCTCCTCCCCCTCCTCCTGGGCCCTGGGGTCCTGGCCCGTCCTCCCTCTCGCCTGCGGTGCCCTCTTGTGGTCGGCCCGCCGACCAAGAAGGGCACCGTTGGTTTTGGGCTGGCCTCTGGGCTGGCCCCCGCGCCGAGGCCTCGATCCTCGACGACGTCGCCTCGAGCCTCGATCCTCGAGCCTCGATCCTCGAGCCTCGATCGTCGACGACGTCGCCGCCGCCGCCGATCGATGCCGCCGCCGATCGATGCTTTCGTCGATCTTTCGTCGGAGTTCGAGGTTCGAGGTTCGATTTGTTTTTCGCCGTGTTCGGCCTCCGGGGAGCCGCTTCGGGGCCCCGGGACCATCAGAAACGGATCCAGGATGAAAAATCACCCCTGGGGAAGACCCCCGGCGTCGTCGTCGTCGTCGTCGTCGTCGTCGTCGTCGTCGTCGTCGTCGCCGCCGCCGCCGCCACCGTCGCCGTCGCCGCCGCCGCCGTCGCCGATCGTCGCCACCGCCGCCGCTGCCGAGGTCAGGAGGGGGCAGGATGTAGGTGTTTGATTCCTCTTCGATCTCTTCGGGCCTCCCGGAGCGCCCTCGCCGCCGCGGCTGGACTCGCCTCGGGATTCCTGCCAGAGCGCATCCCGGGATAGGCCTGGGGGGGTCTCCTCCTGCCCCTCCTCCTCCTCCTCCTCCTCCTCCTCCTCGTCCTCCTCCTCCTCCTCCTTGCCCTCATCCTCATCCTCTCCTCCTTCTCCTCCTTCTCCTCCTCCTCCTCCTCGTCCTCGTTCTCGTCCTCTCCTCTCTCCTCCTCCTCCTCCTCCTCCTCCCTCCTCCTCCTCTCCTCTTCCTCTCTCCTCATCCTCATTCCTCATCCTTCTCCTCCTGTTGCTCCTTCTCCTCCTCCTTCTCTCCTCGTCCTCGTTCTTCTCTCCTCCTCCTCCTCCTCCTCCTCCTCCTCCTCCTCCTCCTCCTCCTCCTCCTCATCATCATCATCATCATCATCATCCATCATTCACATCATCATCTTCAATCTCATCCTCATCCTCATCTCCTCCTTATCCTCTCCTCTCCTGCTCCTCTTTCCTTCTCCTCCTTCTCGTCCTCCTCCACCTCCTCCTCCTCCTCCTCCTCCTCCTCCTCCTCCTCTCTCCTCGTCCTCTCCTCCTCTTCCTGCTGCTTCTCTCCTCCTCCCTCCTCCTCTCCTCGTTCTCGTCCTCCTCCTCCTCATCCTCATCCTCATCCTTCTCTCCTTCTCTCCTTCTCTTCTCCTCTCGTCTCGTTCGTTTCTCTCACCTCCACATCCTCATCTTCATCCCTCCTCCTCATCTCTCTCATTCTCTCTCCTCCTCCTGCTGCTCATCCTCCTCCTTCTCCTTTCCTTCTCTCTCTCCTCCTCCTCCTCCTCCCTCCTCCTCCTCTTCTCTCATCCTCATCCTCATCTCATCCTCATCCTCATCTCTCTCCTTCCTCTCCTTCTCCCTCTCTCCTCCTTCTCCTTCTCCTCCTCCTCGTTCTCGTCCTCTCCTCCACCTCCACTCGTTCCTCATCTCTCATCCTCATCCTCATCCTCATCCTCATCCTCATCCTCATCTCCTCCTCTGCTGCTCCTCCTCCTCTTCTCCTCCACCTCACTCCTCCTCCTCTCTCCTCCTTCTCCTCCTCCTCCTCCTCCTCCTCCTCCTCCTCCTCCTCCTCCTCCTCCTCCTCCTCCCCCTCCTCCTCTTACTCCGACCCCATCTATGAGGCCTCAATCTCTGGGCGTCCCCCAGTCGTTTCGAGGCACTCCGCGGGCGCTTCGCGGGCGCTCCCCGGGCGTTCCTCGGCCTCCTGCTGCTGCTGCTCCTCCTCCTTCTCCTCCTCCTGCTGTGGCTGCTGCTGCTCCTTCTCCTCCTCCTCCTCCTCCTCCTCCTCCTCGGTCTCCTCCTCCTCCTCGTCCGCCTCCTCTTCGTCCTCGTCCTCGTGCCCCCGCCTCCCGGCCCGGGAAAGGGCGCGGTCCAGGACCGGTAGGGGCCCGCAGGCCAGGATCAGCAGAGGCCCAGAGAGCAGAGATCCTCAACATCCTCCTCCCCCACCCCTCTTCCTGGGAAAGCCCTGCCGATCCTGGAAACACCTCGAAATCAATGGCCTGTTCTGGCGCGAAGTGAAACCCGCAACGTTCTCCAGAATGCTCCACCGAGGTTTCAGAGCGCACATGGTTTTCATTGCAGCGGAGAAAAATCTGCACCTGGGGTCCCGACAGCCACCCAAACGACCGACTGTTACACATGATTCCACAGGGAACCTTGATATTCACGAGTCCAGAACCAGGGCGCTCGGCCTGGCGGTCAGCTCCCCGCCCGAATCCGAAATCAAGACATTGTCGTGGAACGCGGCGTGGCCCAACCCTGCGTCCGCAGCGAATTTGCCGACGTACCCCGTGTTGAACTTCCCCTGCGTCGGGACTCGCTGGGACTGGGTCGCGTCGATGATGAACGCGACGGAGCGCGCCTCCCTCAACTGCCGCTTCCAAGTCTCCTTGGGAAGGCGCCTCTCGCTGGCAACTGGCGCCCGTCGCCCGGAATATGGGTCGGGGGCTCGAGGGCGCCAATTCAACTTTGGACGCCTGCTTATCCTCAAGGCCCCATGGGCCCCCTCGTTGAACCGCCGAATGGGGTCGCGGGAGTTCGCGCGGCCCCGGGGCCACGCTCCGCGCAACAGCAGCGGCGCGCAGCCCCCCGGGGCCTTTCCCGGGCACGGCCGCTCGACCGCCCGCGCCTCGATCGCACTACGCCCATCCCCCAGCTGGGCGCAGCAACCGCGCGCGCGTCCTTCCGCCCCCGCAGGGGCCATCCGAACCGACCACTGCTGGGCGACACCCTGGCGCCCCCCGCGACTCTCCTTCCCCGTCTCATCGCTGGGCGGGTTGTCCGCCAGCCCCCGGTACTTCTCCCGCGCCGCAGTGGCGGCCTCGCCGGACAAGGAGGGCGCGCCGCCCACCGGCAGGCCGAACGGCTTGCCTCCGTTCACTACGCCGAAAATGTTTGACGTGGCCGCGATGGCGCGACGTTTCTTTTTAGCTGGGGCAACTCAGCCTCGCTCAGCGAAAACATCCGCTAGCCCTCTTCGGAATGGGCCCTGGCACTGCGCATCCCCCCCCCCCATATTGCAACCTGACCAAGGGCGCTCGCATGGAGACGAGGGGCGAAAGGCGGGAGGAAGGACGAGGAGCGAGGAAGGGGTAGGGATAAGCGAGGAGCGGGAGGAAAAGAGGCAGGATGACAGGGGGGATGAAGGATGCAGGAGGTAGGAGGAAGGACGGGAGTTAAGGGAAGCCGGAGGCAGGGGACAGGAGGGCGGCCTGGCCGCATGGTGGGGAGAAGGAAGGCGAGGAGTAGGATGAGGCTGAGGCAAGCAGAAGGATGAGCGGGTATATGTGGGGATAGATAGGTCGGGGAAGGTGGGTGGGGGGGGTGCGACTTGGGGCGGTGACGCGGGCAGGGGCAGCATACAGGGGCAAGGGCGGAGCTTGGCGACCCGATGCGGAACGCAGCAAGGGGCCAGCTTCGCCGAGCGCCGACGAGGAGCACTGGTCATCGGGCTACCTTTCGCAACTCCTCCTCCTCCTCCTCTTCCGACTCCGAGAACCACGGGGGCGCCGAACACCAAAGGTTGCCGACAGCGAAAAAGGGAACCGAACACCAAGGAAGCGCCGAACACCGAAAGAGCTCCGAAAAGCAAATGGAAGTCGAAAACCCAAAGGCGCAACAAAAACAAAAGAACTCCCAACACCAAAGTGGCGCCGAACAACAACAAAACGTTCGAAAACCAGCGGGGCGCCGAAAGCCAGCGACGCGCCGAAAGCCAAAAGGGCCCCGAACACCAGCGCAGTTCCGAAAACCAAAAAGGCGCCGAAAACCGAAAAGCTCCGAAGTCCAAGAGGGCGCCGGCAGAGACAACGAAACCGGCGCCGAAAACTAAAGGACCGCCAGAAACCACAAGGGCGCCGAGAACCAAACGAGCGCCGAAAACCGAAAGGGTGCCGAAAACTAAAGGAGCACCGAAAACCAAAGGGGCCCCAAAGGCCAAATGGGCGCCGAAAACCAAGTGGGGCGCCGAAGGCCAAAGGGGCGCCGAAAAATAGAGGCGCCAAAAGCCAAAGGGGCGCCGAATACCAACGATGCGCCGAAAACCACAAGGGCGCCGATGCCGATGAACCAAAGGGGCGCCCATGACCAAGAGGGCGTCGAAAACCAAAGGGCGCCAAAAACCAAAAGGCGCGCCGAAAGTCGAAGGGCGCCGAACACCAAAGGGACGCTAAAAGCCAAACCAGCGCCGAACACTACAAGAACGCGGACCACAGGGGCCCCAAAAACCAAAGAGGCGGCGAAAACCAAGAGACGCCAGAAACCGCAAGTACGCCAGAAAACTAAAGAAAAGTAGCTTCGAGGCCTTTCCTTTAGCCAGAGCCGTCCAGCTGGAGAAGCCAACACAAGGACGGGGGGGGGGGAGCTTCGGAAGCCTCACCCCTTGGGAAAGGGGAGCGGTTCACCCCTGGCCCCGAAAAGGAGGGGAGGGGGGGTAGCTTCCAAGCCCTCCCCCCTTTAGCCAGGGACCTCCCAGCTGCAAAATCCAAGCAAAAAGGAGGGAGGGGGGTAGCGGAGCACGAGCTGACCTTGGGCTCCAGAAGAGAAGGGGGAATAGTTTGGAAGCCCCCCTCTTTAGCTAGGGCCCCCCCGGCTTCGAATTGCTAACAAAAAGAATGGGGGAGGGGGGTAGCGTCGGAAGCCCCCCCCCGTTTCCAACGGAGGGGGGGGGGGCGAGCTTCAAGCTGGAGCCCCGCATTTAATAAGGAGTGTGCCTCACGCGCGCGCTCTTGCGCATGTTCGTGTGCAACTACACATGCACAAGTCTGCATTGGCGTTTCGCGCCACGCACTTTGGCCCTTCAATTCCGGCCAGCGGGCGAAGAAGAGAGAGGTAATTGAGTAAAGCACATGTTATTTCTTTGATTGGGATTTTGTACTCGTCGGTCTAATCTATGCTTCCGTTTCTTTCCCTTATACCTCGTCTTTTTCCATCTCGCTTTACTTTACGCACCTTTCTCGTCCGCCTCATCTTTTTGTTGCGGAAGAAGTCTAGCGTTTGTTCGGGGATTCTTGGTGGCTTCTGGAGGCCTCATGGGTGCGTTTTGGGGCTTCTGGGGCCGCCTGAGGGAAAGCGGAATGCAAATCTCGGCGAGTGTTCGGCAGTATGGCTTCGACGCGCGTGTGGCCAGACATCTGGGCCCGTCATGGGGTCCTGCTGCAGCTGTTCTAGGGCCTCTCTGGGCCCCCTCCGGTGCTCGTGGGGTTCCTTCGGTCGCCTCTTGAGTCTGCCCTGGCGTCATTCAAGTCGTGGACGCGCACGGCAGCCTAATTTCTCTCTTGAGACACGTGGGCCGCCAGCGGCCCAGCGGTATGACTCAGGCGTCGGCTCGTTGGCAATGGGCGGCCGCCACGGCCATCAGCCTACTGGAATACGCCTGCGCTCGAGCGTGCCCATGGCTGGATCGTCCCCCTTCCCTCGCTTACCCCTTCCTCCCCTCTCCTCCCACCTTCCTGGGAAGGTGCTGGAGGCGTGGCCAGTCGACAAGCTGTCCTTCTGCTGCGAGCACTTCGGCCGCGGGTGCCAAGAAGTGAAGACGTCGGCCGGTGCCCGTCCGCCCGCCGTGGGGGAAGGGAATGCAGGGGTGTCCACGGTTCGGTCGTTTCGATTGCTACGCTGAGCTCATCGTGTGGAGGTGTCTGCTTTCGTCCCCTCCTCCGCTGGCTGAGCAAATGGCATCAACAGTTCGGTCGGTTTGGCTGCGTCGCCATCGGTTGCATCCGGTCGGTTCGGGTCGATCGGTTGTCTTGTCGTTGTTGCGACGCTGTGCCCGTCTTTGCTGTTTGCGGCATGTTGGTTTTTATCGGTCTCGGTTTTGCTGTGAGTTTGGTCGCTTTTAGCTTGTGCCGTCGTCGTGGATGCCCTTCGAGCGGGTTGGGGGGCGGAGCGGGGGTGGGAGTGGGGTCGGGCAGTATGGAAAGATGGTCGGAAAGCGAGTTCGGGCACGCACAGCACGTGATATGGAGGGAGGTCGCATTTTGGTATGGGACACGGAGCGGTATGTCAGAGTAGGGTCGGCGGGGTAAAGGCAAGGCAGGGTATGGCTGAGGCGAGCAGGGTCGAGTTGCCAGCAGAGCGTCGCGCGCTCCCGTTGGCCACCCCCACGACTCACGACTCGGCACGGGCAGCGGTGGCCAGCCGATGGACGGCCGTCGGGAACCGATGCGGACGCCGGGTGCGCCACGCCTGCGGCATGCGCCACGCGTTCCGGGTGCGCCGCGCGCGCGAGGTGCGCCTGGCGCGCCTGGCGCCCCGGGTGTGCCAGTTGACGTGATTTAAGTTCGGATGCAACTCCTCGGAGGTCAAATTCTGATCTTGCCCTGGCCCGAAATCCGGCTTGATCCCGCTTAATCCGGCTTAATCCAAGGCCCTTTCCGGCGTAAGAGCCCCCCAATGGGGCCCAAGCCTTTTGAATCTTTCCGACGACAACTTCCCAGTAGTTGCCTCCTAACCAGTTGACGTGAGCTAAGAGTGCCGAGTGTGCCACGCGCTCCATGCGGGCGGGTGCGCCACGTGCGACGGGTGCGCGACGCGCGCAGGGTGCGCCGGGTGCGCCAGTGCTCTCGGCAGCACGCACCGGGCAATGTGGCGACACCCGCGCCAGCTGTGTCAAAAACGCATGCAAGACGCACGGGAGATAAGATTGCACCCCGCCGCCATTGACACTTACAGTGGAGACCAATGCCAAGAAACACCCTGTTTGCCTCCAGGGTGCCATGGGTTTCTTGGGTTTCTCGGGTTTCGATGGTTTGCTATGGATAGCGTGACGTTCCCATACCAAAAATCAATGGATGTCTTGGGGTCTCAGGGTTGGGTTTCTTGTGGAAGGTTTCTTCTGGTCGAGCCCCTACTGTGTTCGCCGCGGAGATGCTATGATGCGCACAATTTATCAATCGCGGCTCTTTTCTGGGCGTCTGGGCACAGACAATCTTGAATGCGAGCGAGCCTAGGCACGACGGGCTGCGTAGGAGCAAGTCTGCGTGTGGGCGGCGGGGTGTGAACGGGTCTGGGCGCGAGTGAGCCCGACCACGTCTGGTGGAGTGTAGACGAGTCTGGGTACGAGTGGGCTTCAAGGGAGGAAAAACCACCCAGACCAGACAATTGGCGTTTACTAAACGGCCCTGGGAGTTTACTAAACGGCCCTGCTCTGTTTCATTCCTTCTTTGGGCGCGTTTACTAAACGGCTTCGCGTGTCGGGGTGGTTATTATCGGGGTGGATCTTCTGCCGTCAAGGGCTTGAGCTTGATGGGATCGGAGCATGCGTAAGTTTGTACATTCGGACATTCGTGAGGGTACCCCTCAATCTGAGCGCATGGGAGGTCCCCACACGCTAGGCGCGAACGAGCCCGTTCGTATCCCCAGGTGGCTCCCGATTGGGAGGGCCAAGCGCCATTCCTGCTACATCGTGGTGATCGTGGGGCTCGCCAGCTCGCTCAAACAGGCGGTTCGTCCGAGAGTTCCCCGCAGCCTGGGGTTGAACGTGCCCGTGAAACACCCGTAGTCTCCAGAGGGCTCAAAAGAAAACAGTTTCTGCTACATTGCGGTGATTTCATACCTCTGAGAGGAGACCCGTCTGATGGCGGTCTGCTTGGCCAAAGCAGGGCTTCGCGTGAGAGATCCCACAATCTGCACGCGAACGGGCCCGTGAAGCACCCTTTGTCGGCATCCTTGTGGTGGCTCATGTGCCATGTCTGCTACATAAGGTGCGACTTGTCTCCCAGGCCAAATCAGGCGCTCGCTTGAGATGTCCCAGCAGTCTGGCTGCGAGCAGGCCCTTAGGGCTATATGTGGTCGGCAGTTTCTTGAATTTCTCAAGGGCCATGCCTGTCTACATCGCGGTGATCATGGGGCAGTGCAAGTCCCCTTTGTCGACGCCCCCTCTGGGGGCTTCGAAAGGAAGCCACCCATGCCTGCCACATCGTGGTGATGATGGCGTTCTGGGAAAAAAGAATCCGCCTACTGTGCAACAGCAGGCGTTTCGCTTCAAGGGTCTCCGCAGAGTGGGCGCGAACGTGTTTGTGGAGCACCCACGTCCGACACCCCGTCGGATGGCTTAAATGCAGTACTTGGTACTTCACGGTGTTCATAGGGCTCTGGGAAGAGACCCACTCGTCTACAGAGCCAACACGGGCGTTTCGCGGGAGAAGATCCCGCAATCTGGGTTCGAACGGGCCCGTCAACCACCTTTGGTCGCCGCCCTTTCGGGTGGACCAATTGTTATACTTGCGCTACGCCGAGGTGGCCCTGCGGCTCTGAATCTGAGAAGGGATGCGTATTCAGGGAGAACATTTACGTTTCGATTGAGAACCCACTGCAATGTGAGTGCAAATAGGGCTGTGAAGTACTCCTGGCCACCCTGATCGACGCCCTCTTGGATGGCTCAAGTGCATTGCCATGATCGGTCATGTGGCTCTGAAGAGAGATTCCTCGATTGAGCCAGGACAGGCATTTCGATTTTGGAGGCCCCACAATCTGACGTCGAACGGGCAAGTGTCAGTCGACGCCCCCATCCACATCTCGAACCCCACCGTCTCACCACCTCAGTTGGGAATATGCCACTCGAACCCCCAAGAGAGCTGCCTACATCCCCATCAGGGGGGTATCGGCCAATGGGGCCCAGCCCACGCAGGTGGGGATGGGAATCGGTGAAGCGATGCTCAAAATCCTGTGCGTCGGCACGACCGATCGACTGCCTTCCCCTGGTCATCGATGGCCCTCGGGTGGCGAAAGTGGTCAGACGGCGAAACAAGCCTCAAACGCCACCCCAGGGGCCCAGAGCAGAATCATGTACCGTGTTTCGCTGCGCCCCGTGTGTCCGCAGTTCTCTGGCTTTCTCGTGCATGAGATGCCGCGCCTGTTGCTTGTGATGTCCGTCGGCTTGGCGAGCGGCACGGTGTTGCATTTCGGCCAGCCTGTCCAGGTGTCGCATATCAGCTCGCAAGTATCAGTCTTCCTGCTCTCTGATGCTCCTCTTGCTGGGTGGTGGATGCTGGTTTACGTCAAGCTGGAGGAGGGGGCGGGGTCATCAATCATTCCGCCGCTTCTCCGAGCTCTTGTTGGCCAGGCTGGCCCATCCCGCGCGCGCAGACGCGACCGACTCCGCGAGCGCATCGTTCTTCCAGCGACCCGCCCAAGAAAAAAGGAGGATGGGCGGAATGGCAGGGGAATGGAAGGGAAAGACTCTTTGAAAGGGGGGGGAGGGGAATAGAGAGAGGGTAGGGGTGGTAGGAGGGATTAGAGGGTTGTATGGAATAGAGAGAGGATAGGGGAATAGAGAGAGGGAATCAAGAGGGGCATGGAAATAGAGAGAGAGAGAGGATAGGGGAATGGCGCAGGGCAGGGAAATAGAGAGAGGGCAGAGAGGAGGCAGACATGGGCGCGTGTCCCCAGCTCTGCCGCCAGGCGCCAGGCAGGCCGTCGAGAAGCCGCCGAGCGCCAGGCAGGCCGTCAAAAAGCACCCCGTCGCACGGGCGGCGTGACGTGCGACCGGCCCCCACGCGAGCTGATTGTCGGCGCAGTGCCACCGAGATGGGTACCCAGCGGTGGGTCTTTCGGCAGCGCGCAGGAAAGTTGTGGGGAAAAGGCGGGGTCGCGCCACATGTCAGGGGAGGAGGGGGTGACGATACCGCTGCCCGTTCCGCGCCGCCACGCTTGGATTCGCCTCGGCATCGTGGTCAGAGCACACCCCAGGAGAGTTCCAGGGAGTGAGTATCGTTTTTTGTTCACCCAGGATTCGTGCTGTATTGCTGAGGCAAACGGCAGGAAGCGCCATTCTCCTTCGTCGATCCATTTCTGGGCCTGCAGAGTGCCCATCGAGGCAGCGCTGAGATGGATTCACCATGACCCACCTCCGTGTTGACCCCTCAGCTGAGTTGTTCCCCCTCCTTTCCCCCCCGTTTCCGCTCCCGATGCTCCTCCTTGCCTTGCTCCTTCTCCTCCTCCTCCTTCTCCCCCTCCTCCTGCTCCTCCTCCTCCTCCTCTCTGCTCCTCCTCCGCCCTCGTTCGCCCTTCCCCTACAGTGGGCACGCTCACCAAGGAACCGAATGCTTCTCGACAGGGTAATCTCGGGTTTCTCCGTTTCCAGCGACGCGCGGTGACGCCCCCCCGAGCGTTGACAAGCTGTTGCGCCGCGGGCGTCAACCAGCTGCACCTCCCCTCGCTTGCAACGGGAAGTGAGGCTGGCGGTCTCGGTGTCGCAGATGTGTGGACTTCCCGTCCCCGGGGGCCCGGCCGAGAGGGTCAACGCCGAGAGGGGCGCGGAGGTGAGCCCGTCGGGCGCAGGGCGCCCTCGTGCTGCGCGGGCCCAGCAGATGGGCCTCGGCCCGCCCCCGCCCCGATCGGGGCCACGGGACGGCCGGAGGCCGCCCCTGGGCTCGCAGGCGCGTCTCGCGGATCGCTGTCCTGGAGGTAGCTCCCGGGGCGTCGAGTTCGGCATCGGCGCCGGCAGACTGGTGGTCGAAGACGTAGCTTTTCTTTTCCCGCTCAGTCCCGCTCATCCAGCTGCCTGCGGCAAGTCCCGCCATCCGTTCGCACGGGAGAGGGGACGCTCTAAGGTGTGACACCTCGAGTGGCGACAGATGCATTCACTGTGTCAACGGTCGGAGCAAGCCCAGAATTTCTTGGTTTGTCCCAGGGCTCTCTGCGGCGAACGCTCGGGCAACGCCCACAGGTGTCACATGCGACACTCCCGCCGTTTCCATCCCGTATTGCATAGCTGGGGTTCACTCATGGAGTGGAGTAGGGAGATGAAGCGAGGGAAGGATTTGAAGGCGATGTCCACGATGACGACGAAGATGGTGATGGCGGTGATGATGAGGATGAGGATGAGGATGATGATGATGATGAGGATGAGGATGATGACGATGATGACGATGCTGATGACGATGAGGAGGATGATGAGGATGAGGATGAGGATGATGATGCTGATGATGACGCTGATGGTGATGATGCTGTTGATGATGAATATGATGATGCGGATGACGATGACGGTGATGTTGATGACGGTAATTGTGATGATGAAGACGACGACGAGGACGGTGGTGGGGACGAAGTCGCTAATTATGATAGTACGGAGGACGAGAAGGAGGAGGAGGAGGAGGAGGAAGAGGAGCCTTAGCCACTGTGGCTCAAGACGGAGCTTACCTCCGGTCCCGAGTCCAGAGTCTCGAGACCGCGGTAGACGGGCAGCCTTTTCCTTGGCCTGGCTGCCGCGGTCCAGGTAATTATTGTGAGCTCTTGGTGGGGCATGCATGCCTGATCGAGCTCCTGCTGGAGCGGCGTCACATACAATGTCCCCTTCGGGGGCACATGTCCCATGGGCACAGCGGTGATCGGTGGAAGTGCAGTCTTTGTGGATGTGGGCAGAAACTCCAGCACTGGGCATTGTGCAAACAGTGCCACAAGGAATGTCAGGAGCAGGACTCGAACCCATCAAGGCACGGACGGGCTAACACCAACAGGTGGAACAGAAGCAAGTTCGGCGGCGCCAGTGGATTCTCTGCAGACATAGTCACGGCCACTGGCCTTTAGAATATGGTGGACGTCGCCACGCAGACGGGGGACACCGCCACAGTCAACAAGTACAGGGCCTCGTTGGCCAGGGCCAGCGCCGATCGCCCAGTGCACCAGCGAGCTGCCATTGTGCAGCGTACGGCCACCGGCATCGAGAATACATTCGGCCACGTCACGGACACATTTGGGCAGCGAGCTGGTAGATGCGGAGACGGTTTACACAACGGTCCTGGCATAAGAATGCCCGATCACCCTTGGATGACAACAAGCTACCGCCGCTTGCGCGTGGTCAGGCAAGGCCAGCCTCCAGACCATCTTCGAGGGGAAGACCACTGCGGAGGATTTTTTCGACGACGATGGGGTCTTCGGTCTTGACAATGACTACGGCCTGGCCTCAGAGAGCGAGGCTGGGACGTATCATCAAGCGCAAAGAGGAGTCCAAGTTCACCGCGCAGGCCATGGCCGCCCAGCTTTTCGCCGACTCCAAGCAGAAGTGCGGGCCTTCCGCGCCGCCCATGAGGAGCAAAAGAAGCGTCTCGAAGCCAAGAGGCGCCGCGAGGAATGTGTTTCTCCTCCTGCTCGCGACGAGATTGTTTCTCCCGTTTTTTTTTGAACGCCCAAAAACATGTTTGGCGATTTGGGCGTCGCACGTAGTGATGTTTCACGAAGTCGGAAGCAGAGGCGTCGTTCGTGACAGCGTCGGCCTGCCCCACGTGGCCGGTTGTGGCAAGTCCTGTCGAGGATAGCCAACCACGCGCCGAAACGCTAGAGACGGACAGGGCCACGGGTGCCCTCAGAGTGAGCCTGCGCAGTCCTAGACCATTGGGAGGCGCGCGATCAGCTGCATAAGCCTTCGCCACCGACAGACGGTGGCGATGGGGGGGGGGGGGTGCACATTATATGTGGCATCTTGCATTTAGGTGGATATGTTTGACAAGCTACTGGGGACGCTCGCGGCGTCGGCGAGCACGCGCCAGGGGGCGGGGGGGCAGGCGCTGGGGCTCCAGCGGCCCCTGGCGCCGCCGCGGCAACAGCTCCCACGTCCGCGGCCCCCGCGCAGCCGCAGCAGTCAGCCGCGGAGTGCGCAGCGGACGCCCTCGCCGGCAAGGGCGCCAGCAATGGGAGCGCGGCAAAGTCGGTGTACCGGCAGCCGCGCGGAGCAGAGCGCTCAGGCGGGGTGCGTCGCCGACGTCTATGCCCACTCATGGCTCGGGACACGTCTTCCCCGAGGGGGCGGCGCCCCGTGCGCCTCGCGCGCGCGGCAGTCATAGCCGTCGCTACCTCGGCCACCTTGCCGTCGCCGACTGGGGGCGCTGCAGCGACGAGTTCGGGCCCCCGAAATGATTGTTCGACTGGCGTGAATATTTCGAGCGCGGGCGAGGCAGGCTGCATCCTCGTTGCAAAGGGCGCGGACATTGCGGGCACTGCAGCGTGAATTTCGGCGATCCACATCGCCCGAGAGAGGTTTGAGGCTCGGGCCCCGTGGACATAGAGGGCCTGGACTTGCGCCCCAGGAATCGGCCGGAGGGGGTTTGGCCTCGACGCGCGGAGGCGTTAGACCGCCAGCGCAGGGGATGACCCCCTGGTTCAATCGTCGTCGTCGTGATATCGCGGGCCTGGGCACGGCCCGCCAGCGCGCCGCGGTGCGGGGATTGCGGGGGCGGTGACAATGACGTGCGATCGAAAATCCTGCTGTCGCGGTCGGGCTCGCGCATGACCGCGTTCTCGTCGGATCCTCCACGCCCTGGATCTCCGGGGGAAGGCCCCCCAGCTTCGCCGTCGCCGTTTCTGGCGTTCGCTCGGCCGGCCGACGGCGGTAACTCGAGAGGTGGGGGTCTCAAGCGCGGGCGAGGCAGATCGCGCATCCTTCGAACAGGGCGCGGGCACTGCGGACGTGCGCGCGCTGCGTGGGCGGCGGCCGCGACCCCGCAAGCGACGTCGACGATTGGGGGCCCCGCTGCCACCCAGATCCGCCCAGCGCGGGCCCGGCGCGCGACGAGCCGCGGGGGCCCTCGCAGCCGCCCGAGAGCAGCGAAAGCGCAGGGGAACCAAAGAAGGCGAATCCCCCCGCCCAGACACCTCCGAGCCCGCCAGCCGATAAGTTCAAGCGCTTCCGCGCGCGAGACTTGGGCGGCGCCGACTTCTACTTCGCCAGCTGCGCCGCGCGGCACGAGGCGGGCTTCGACTGCGTCAGCGGCCCCGGGGGCCGGGGCTACCGCGCCCAGCTCGGTGCCTTGAAGGAGCGCGGCAGGATCCGTTGGGAAGTCGAAGCTCGAATTGCCGACGCACCTCCCCGCGGGGATGTCGGGCGCGGCGGAGCGCGGGTCGCAGCGCGGGGCTCATCTGAGCTCCTGGACCACCTGGCTCCGCCGCGTCGAATGGTTTCAGCTTGCCTCTGGCCAGGGCGCGCGGGCCGCCCGTGAGGTTCGCTTGCGCCGCAGCCCCCCCCTCTTCTTCTCTGCCTACTTTGCGCGCGGGGAGGGCTTCTTTGAGGGCCGCGCGCCGATGCCCGATGGGGATTTTCTGAAACATTCGAGCTTCAGGGGCCCCCTTCGCTCCCATGTCGGGCTGGAACATGGAAGCGTCAGAAGTTCGGGATTCGTGGGTCGAAGGCGACACGGGCGCCAGGTTTGCGTTTCCGGCAGGGGCTTCAACGGGATTTCGGCAAGAGGGCCCTCGACTGCGGCCCGGCCCCCCCCCACCTCGTGCCCGACCGCGCCTTCGAATGTGATCTAGAAGGCCCATGTGCCCAGCCGCGTCTTGGGATTTGATGCCGACTGGCATGCTTCCCCTGGGGCGGCAGACGCAGGTCCTCGTCCGGCTCGCGACGACGCCCGCTGGCGCGCAACGACCCGCATTGGTCTGGGGAGCTTCTGCTGCCAGGGCGCGCGCTCGACTCCCAAGGCGTCGCTACCTGCGTCGATCCAGCTCTCGCCGACGGGCGCGCTGTTTTCTCTGGCGCAGCTGAGGGGCCGCGCGCCCCGGAGCTCGGGGCCGGGCGCGACGCCGCGCGCCGTCGCGGCTGCTCGCCCGCTTCGCCCGAGAGAGTAGCCGCGCCGCCAGCCAGGGGACGCGGGCAGCATGGGGATACGCACGAGCTAGATTTTGTGAAGAGCGTCGTCGCCAGACACTGGGACCTCTTGGGCTTCCGGATTGAGTTAGAGAGCCCAGCAACAGGAGAAGCGACGACCAGTTGAGGGGCCATTCGGAACCAATCTTGGCAGACAAAAAAACGCAGGAGTGCAATTACCCCCGGGGTTCAGGAGGACAGTGGCCAAGGGTGGATCACAACCCAGGAGGTCAAGACCCTGGCCCGGCAGCTGGCCCAGTCTCCCAGGACGCCCTGATGGACGTCGCCATGGCATGCAAGGGGCTTTGAGACCATGCCGACCACGAAGTCTCTCGAGCTAGACCAGCTGGTTTCCACTCGCCCTGCCCAAGACTAGGGGGGGGCGAGCGGTGCCGCTGGCGCGCCGGGCACTCGGGGCGCGCCGAGGCGACCCCGCCCAGGAACTCGACCAAGCAGGAAGCCTCGCACGCGGCCCCATCTGGCTTCTGGAGACCAAGAAGTTACAGTAGCTGTCACTATCGAATGATCCAGAAGGCAGTAGACACCCTGCGAAACAAGGCAGGTGGCAAGAGTTTCGGCAATCAGCGCTTCCTAGAGTAGTTCCTGATACCCCTTTGCTCCACCGCCCACCGACTTTCTTGCCCCGACTCCATGGGTATGGGGGCAAGCCAATGGAATCCCAAGCTTTGGTGTTTCCGGCCCGAAGAGTCCCAGACGAGCTCATTGCCCTCTTCCTGGACATCGAGCGCACGCGCGCCTGGCCAGAGCAAATGCTGCTCAGTGAAGTTCGCATGCGCCCTAAAACCACAGGGGAAGGCGATCGGTCCACCACTCGGACCCAGGTGCTCTACAGGGCCGGGTCGAGGCCCAGGAAAGGGCGAAATCGCCACCTGGGAAGAAGCAATCTGGTCTCGGGGATGCAGCAGCTCGAGGCTCGGATCCGCTCGAAGCAGCTCTTCTGTGAGTTGCTAAAGCAGACGCAGCCAGTTGGGCATCGTCGACTGGGCCGTCCTTTTGCTAGATTCTGAACAGTTGTTCGACGGACTGAGCCCCTTCTGGATCTACGCGCTAGGCAAAGGTCTCGACTTCCCCCTGCGCGCCATTTACATGGGCATGGTCGCTCGTCGTCGTCATGGACGCGGACGCCGCGGCGGCCCCGGAACCGCGCGGCGGGGGGGGGAGGGGCGTTGCTTTCATGCCCGCCCCCCCGCCCCCCCAAACCACGCCCGTTCTCACCGCGAATGAAGAAGCGTGCTTTTGATAATTGACAATCACATACTACCGCTGGCTTATGCAGGTCCAATCGTTTGAGAAGCCGAATTTCGACGTAGCAATGGGGCCGCGGGCGACGCGGCCGAACGAACCAGGGGCAGCGCTGGCCCGGCCCCCCCAGGGCTCGCCGGCCGAGGTGGCTCGCAATGACTCGCCGGGAAGGTCATCGACAGTCTGCTCGAGGTAGGCGCGGCCGAGGTCCTGGCCAGGCAGGCAGACGCCCGCGCCGCAAGAGCTCCTTGCCGCAAGAGCCCCCGCGCCCGCCGACGTCAGCGCTGCCAGTAGAGGGCGCCAGGGGCAACGAACTGCAGCTATATTTGGCGCCCGACTAGCTACCGACCGCTCGGTTGTTCCGCGGTGGGAGTCGTCTTTTGACATTGTTTACCTGGCGGCGCCACCCCGCGGGCTGCCCGCGCAGGAGCAGCAGCCAATCCAGGGGCAGCGCTGGCCGGGCCCCCCCGAGACTTGCCGGCAGATGTGGCTCGCAGCGATGACTGGCCAGGAAGGTCTCTGCTCGAGGTAGGCGCGGCCGAGGTCCTGGTCAGGCAGGCAGACGCCCCCGCCGCGTGAGCCCCCGCGCCTGCTGACGTTAGCGCTGCTCGTAGAGGGCGCCAGGGCCAAAGACTTGCAGCTGGACTTGACGCCCGACTAGCCACCGACCGCTCGGTTGTTCCGCGGTGGGGGGGTGTCTTTTTACATGGTTTGCCTGGCGGCGCCACCCCGCCGGCCGCCCACCAATGAAGGGCCCTCCTCTCCGTGCAAAGGCTTTCCTCGCCAGGTCCACAGATCTCATCGGCTTCGGTGCTTGCGCGGGCACTGGCGGCGCGAGGTGCGCGGCGGCTCGGGGCGCGCGCGTTCCTGCGTCTTGGGGCAGCCTGCCACCGCCCAACAGCTGCTGGCAAGAATGCGCCGGACATGTTTGCTCGGGGCCCTCTTCCTGTGAGTCGAGGCGCCCGGCCGAGTGAGTTGTCCTGCCGTTTCTGCTTCTTCTTTTTTCTGGATTTTGGCATCGGAACCAGACTTCGACTCTCGCGCCGCTGCCCTCGGGGGGCGGACAAGGAGGAGGTGGGGGGGGGGGCGAGTTGCGCGCGAGAAGGCCGCGGGCGGGGACTTGGGGTATAAGCTCGAGGGCGAGGGCGCCAAGTGCGACGACATCGCGCCCTTCGATGCCATCGCCAATGAGCGACTGAAGGGCAGCGCCAACGACGACAGCTTCGACGACCCGAAGAACCGCCAGACGGGCGCTGACGCGAGATGCCAGCGGTGCTCGCCCAATCCGCAACTACGTACCTGATTCTACTCTGCACATATTTCGCGCGCGCCACGCACTGCGCCTTTCGCCCCGGGGTCCGAGCAAAAAGTGCGTCCTCGCAGGCGCCCCACCATCTGTCGCATCTCCCCGTCTTCCCAGCGCTCGCGCGCGCGTGTGCGACAGTGCCCCTGGCCTGGCTCAGGACCCACGCGCCTTGAGACGCCGCAGGACCGCTGCGTGGACATGGGGCGACGACGTGATCTAACAGTCATATGATCACCTGCCCGCCTGCCGAGACTTGCCAATCGAGACTTGTTTCGTCCCCTGTGCAGATCGCTCCTAACGTAGTTTCATAATCCAACTGCAACCGCTGGCTCGGGCGACTGACCACTGCCCGGGCGCCTGCTAGCCGATGCCCAGACAAGGTTGCCATGAGTTACGATGTGCAAAGCGACGTAGCCAGCGGGCAGCAACCTACGCATGCCCAAACAAGTACATGGCTACGTGTTCTGAGCAATAAGCGCAGACTGATAGAAGTGACCACCAAAACCACATACGGTGAAGGTGGACGGCGAATTCAAGACCGCCGCTGCCATGGGTGCGCTTCGGCGCTGATTCAAGCCCTACGATCGTCAACCTCTAGCAGGCCATCGTCGCCAAATTTCGCGTGCAATAATTTGATAAAAGGCTTGGCGAATGCCCGCGTACCAAAGCTGCGTGAGCCGCGGGATCAAGGAGCTACCAGATGTTCTGCAACTGTAGCACAACCGACGCTCACCAGGTTACCATGCCAAAGTTGCCTACAGCGCTCCACTCGTATGTAGAGTGCACTGCATACTGCCAGACTGCGCCTACCGCGCTGCGGACAAGGTGCGCCGTACGCGACGCTACTCGCCACTGGCAAGGTACTACGTCATCCTTCGGTGCATCGTCGTCAATTGAGTGGCCCCGCCGCTTCACCCATCGTTTCTTCCTCCCTTCGTTGTTGTCTTCTTGTCAGGGTCAGGTGCTCTCCCCGATCTGGAAAGGGCGCCCCTGTGGCGTCTGGGGGGTTCCGCAGTGGCGTCGGGCTGGCGGCCCGCCCCGTTGGGCGGCCGCGGGCGCGCGAGCGCTGCTGGGAACGCTGGGGAGCGCTGCGGAAGAGAAGCGGAGGAGACCCATCACATGTGCTACTTGTCGTCTGCATTTCTCGGCGGGCTCTCAAGAACTCTGCCTGGGCTGTTTTGGGGCCGTCCTGGGCTCCTGTGGGGCAGTCTTGGGAGGCCCTCGGGGTCTTTTCGGGTGGTCATGGGGCCCTCGGTGGCCGTCTTGGCTCTCTCGGGTCCCTCGTGGCCGTCTGTGGGCTCGCGCGGGGCCGTCGTGAGGCCGTTTTGCGTCGTCCAGTGATCATGTTGGCCGTTTCTGGCCCTTCAAAGGCCCTCTTGGGCCACTTTGTTTTCGTCCTGGGTCTTCAAGGGCCTTCTCGTGTCGTCTTTGGGCCGCCTCGGAGGCCTTTTGGGTTGTCCTGAAGCCGTAGTGGGTCGTCGTAAATGCCAGTTTGGAAGGCTCGTGGGCCATCTTGAGCCGGCGAATGACAGAAAAGGCGAAAATGCGAAACACGTTGAACAACAACCTGACGAACATCAATGATTGTGGCATCATCGGGCCCTTCTCGGGGAACCGTTTTCAAAGCGTTTGGGGCGGTCCTGAAACCATCTTGGGCTGCGGGCCATCTTGGGTGGTCTTGGAGACATATTGGGGCCATCCTGGCGGTGTTGGTGGCCTACTTGGGCCATGTTGGAAACCACTCTGGTCTTTCTCGGACCCTCGGAGAAGACAGTGCCCCGGGGAGGGGGGCGGCCTGCTCTGGCCAACTCGGGCCCAGTGGCCCCTCATCTTGCCTGCGCTGACCTCCTGGAAGTCGCCTTCAGGCAAGGGAGGAAACACCACCCTGACGGGCAAGCGTTTCCTAAGCGGCCCTGGGCGTTTACTGAGCAGCCCCGCCCTGTTTGAGTCCTTCCTTGAGTGCGTTTTTACTAACGGTTTCGCGCGTCGGGGTGTTTCATATCAGGATGGAAAACAACGCACACACAAACAAAATGAATCGTCGATTTCCCAGAAAATATTTGAAAATATGGGAATTGAGGGGGGAGACGAAAACCCAGAAAATATGGAAACATATGGGGGGTCCTGTTATTTGTGTGTATTTATTTGTGTGTCTCGGGGCTCCTTCACATCCGCCCCATCCGCGCCCGCTCGCGCTCGTCCTCCCGTCGGGTCCAGGGGCAGCTAGCTCTTGCAGATCCACCTCGCTCCTGGCCCCACCCTTCTTCCAGGGAGGAGGATCACAAGCAGGGGAGGACCGCACCCCCGAAAAAAAGGGAGGGGGGATGACGATCGGAGGGGGAACGGGGGAGGGAGGAGGCCGTGATTCCGCTCGGCTGTGGTAGCGGGGTTGGTCTTCGCGGGCCGCGGAAGCATCCTGCCACGTTCGCGTTCCGCCCGCGCGCCTGCGGGCCATCACGACAGGGAGGAGGGAGGAGGTGGACGTGTGTGATTGCTTGGTTCCTGGCCCCGCCCCCTCCCTTCCCCCCTGCTCCCGCTCGCGCTCGTCCTCATGCTCCCACTGCTCCGGCTCGCCTTCTTGTTCCTCCTCCTCCTCGCCCCCGTCCGTCGGGCGACGGGATCGTACACCGCCCGTGACCAGGCCCATCCTGGGCCCAAAATGAGCGGTGCCAGGGGCGGTGTTCATGCAGAGACCCCGTCGCCCGACTCTTCCCCGCCCTCCTCTTCCTCCTCTTGGGCCCCCCTCCTCCTCCTCCTCCTCCTCCTCTCCTCCTCCCCCCCCTCCTCTCCTCCTCCTCCTCCTCCTCCTCCCTCCCCTCTCCTCCTCCTCCCTCCTCCTCCTCCTCCTCCTCCTCCTCCTCCCATCCTCCTCCTCCAGATTATCCTCCTCCCCGCTCTGCTCCTTCTTCTCGCTCCCCCTGCTGCTGCTGCGGCTGCGGCTGCTACTGCTGTTGCTGCTTTGACGCAGAGTGCAAGCCTGCAGCGAAGGACCAGAAGAGGCACGGATTTTTGCCAGAGAGCCTCCTTAACTGCGCCTTCTGCGCCTCGCCCTGCGCCTGCTCCCCCCTGCGGAAGCAGATTTGGCACATCAGCCCGTCTGTGCTGCAGGCTGGTCCGACAGAGGGGTCCTCGGACCAGAGGTTCGCGGATAAATACCATAGGGAACTAGACACACAGCATGTTAGAATGCCAGCTGCAATCGGCATGCACTTTGCTGCTGTGAAGAAGCCTGCGAAGGTCACGTGCACGTTGCATGCAGTAGAACATTTTGTTGTAGTTATGACATGCCCGAGCGCTCTCACAGCACCTACTATGTCGAGTCACAGCACGATATGGAACTCATGCGCTACGGTGCACTCTAGGAAAGAACGATTAGTTTATGATGCTGCTGATACTGCTGCTATCCCCACCGCAAGAGAATGGGCAGCGCAGCAACTGTGAGGCGAGCGCCGACGAGGAGCGCCAGGGCCGAGCTTCGGAAGTCTCGCAACGGTGTCCTTCTTTCGGTGAGCCAGAGGCTGATGTCACTAAAGAAAGCGAGGGGGAGGAGGAGGCAAACGAGGCAGAGTAGGCCGCATTGGAGCAAGAAGCTACAAGAAGCCAGGCCATAGTGGACTATGTTTAGGCAGTGCGGGCCACGTCCTCCCCCAGATCGGCGCGGACAAATCCTGCCCCCCCCGGACTCCAAATGTCACGGAGTCGTTGCGGGCGCTGGATCGGGCGCACACGGATTCAGATTGGTACGTTCTTTTCTTGCTCTTCGGCGAAATGGCGGTATAGCTTCAGCACCGTTTCTTTCTTCGTCGGTGTTGTCTTCGTGCTGAGGTCGTTGGCACCCAAGATCTTGTGAAGGTTGGACTGTGTGGTCTTCTGGGCGGTGAAGTTTGCAAACTCGTCCAACTCATCTGGGATGATGTCGGGCGTCTCGTCCGGGGCGGGGGCACTACTGATTTGGGCGTGTGCGCGCTTCTTTGCCTCATTGTTTCCTTCCTCCAAATCTCAGGAGGGGAAAAAACACACAGACACAATTGATCGTCGATTCCCAAGGAATACATGGGAAAATATGGGAAGTGAGGGGGGACAACCAAAACCCTGAAAATATATGAAAAAATGGGAATCTGGTTATTTGTGTCTATTTGTTTGTGCAGCAGGGCTGGACCTAAACGGTGTTTCTGGCGATTTCGTGGGCCGTTTCCGTTTCGACTTCGTTTTGCGGGAAAGGCGGATTCGAGACAAAAGCGAGGGACAACGAACACGAAGAACATTGCTTAGGTCCAGCCTTGCCCTGCAGACCAGCGCCCTGGGCGCCCGCTGCAGGCGCCGAGCCGGTGCTTTACCGCGTGCTCGATCAGGGCCTTCGTGTCCGCGGCGTCCCCGCCGGCGGAGGAGGCGAGGCCAGGCTGGAGGAGTGCCTGCCGCGCCTTCTTCGCGACTCCTGGCGCGGTGGCTCTGCGGCTCCTTCTGCGGGGCCTCCCGGACCAGCTGGAGGGACATGTTGCCGACCCCGTGCGAGCTCGAGGAAGCGTTGGAGGATTGCGATGTGGTGATGTCTCCGTCGTCGTCGTGCGTTGGCCTCCTGTGCTCGCCGGCCGACTCCAGGGAATGCCACGGCTCTTTGCTTACCTTTTTGTCCTTTGGTCTTTGTGTTCGCTGTCCCTTGCTTGCGAAATTTGCCGCCGAAGATCTCAGCGACGGCTGTCTTGGCATACCTGGCCACGCGCTTCAGCACGCACCGCTCCTGCTCTGCAGCCTGCGCGGCTGATTCACGTTGTTTCATCGAGTCCGTGATGCTCGTCATTTCGTTCATCTGGTTCTAGGTCCAGGCGGGCGGCTGCGAGACCGGCTGGGGCGGAGTGTAGTTCATGCAAGTCTTGCCCTTGCCACTGTCCTTTCCACCGGCTTTCCCGCCGCCGCGGCCGCGAGGCCACCACAAGGGACAGGGAAGCCGGGCGACGTTTCGGGGCGTAAGTGTCAGCCTGCGCGGGAAGTGGCGATTAGCTCGGAGCAAGAGAGGCCGTGCCAGATCAGGAGAAAAGCAGACAGCAGAGGCAGAGGTGCAGAAGACGAGAAGAGGCCAAGAGGCGAGATCAATCTCCCCGACACCTCCGAGCGATGCACCATGCTTGAGTGGTGACTGGAGTCGGTGACCGCGCAAACGGCCCACGCAACGAAGATGTCACGAATTCTGCGGGCCGAGACGACCGTATCATTTTTGTTGGTCTAGCAGCCTGTCCGGGTGGACGTGAGAGCCAGCATGTTTGGCAGCCTGGATAGGACTTTGTCACATAATTCGACGAACAGGTCCAAAAGCTTCCAATGGAGTGTGCCAGAGCCGTGGCCCGCGTCTCTAGGCAGCCTGGAGAGCGGGGCTGGAATCTCGCACGTGTGTGACGAACCATGAACGGTGTCTTCTGGGCACGTTTTGAAGGACGCGGCAGATCCAACTGATGGGCCACTCCAGGCGCATGATCTCACATAGCGTGTCCACCAAAGCAACGCAAGGCTTAAGGGGGCAGCCTTTACACGTGGCGTTAAATGACAAAGTACGTTCCACAAGTAAGGTTGGAGGTCGAAAGCAGAAAGGGCAGGGGAGGAGGGAAAGGAAAGTGGGGGAACTTGGCTCGAAATGGTTCGTTCTCCAAACCTCTGGCGAAACTGGACTTGTGCGAGAAAGGGAGAACGGCGATACGTCCTTGGTAGCTTTCCAAAACAGCATGGAGGAAAACAATGGGAAGCCCGTGTCCTCCCAAGAAGACGCCGACATCTTTGGCCCACAACTTGTTGATGCCTTTGTAGAGGCAGTGTCGGCACAGGATGCGACTAAACAGCAGAGAGTCGTCCACGCGGTGTAGGCCTTGGACCAGCTGGGAAGGCGAGACCCTTGGGAGAAACCACCCAATCTCCTTCTGGAAGTCAGCATCTGTGTAAAACCGCCAAACGTCAGAAATCTGCCGAACATTCAGCACATGCAAAATCCTCCCAGGTCAGCAAGGGTGGCTGGCTTTGACTTGGACCCCCCCATGGGCCAGCCTTTCGCCCAAGTGAAAAATGCACTCCCCAGGAGGAGCTATTTGTCTCTGGCTGCGAAGCGCACGGCGCACCGGATGTCGGACAACGAAGCGATGTATTCGCTACTGTCGCAAGCCCGGCCAGGCTTACATAGAGCACCCTGGGCTTTGCTTTGAGGTTTGATGCGAACGGCGGACCTGCGAGTGCATCGGAATACACGGTCGAGTAGGTTGCTCGTGCGCTGGACCCCTCGGTCGACGGACGCGTCTTTAAAGAATTGTGCAGCGTCACTCTCAATGAAGGTGACAGGCGCCTTGTTTTGTCCACAAGAGCAGCAAGAGGTGTACTTTTCAATGTGTGCCAAACGTACATCAAGCTCATCGGCAAGGCGCATGGGATGCTAAAGAGTCCAACAGGGTTCACGCGCAAGGAATTCGACCAGGCGGAGTGCGCGCGCAGCACGCGTGAGAAATGGCTTTTCCAACGCAGAATAATTAGAAATGGTTTCTCTGCTATGAGCGTGCTCTTTAGTGCTCGTGAACTTTCCGCTGAGCTTATTGATGCAAGCCTGGGGTAGATGCTCAACACAGGTAGGGGTGCGAACTCGCCAACGACTGGGAACGTACTTGTCCACAAGTTTGGCATGCAACTGCGCAACGGCTTTGGGAGTTGAGGCCTGGGCAATGCTTGTAATACGCGGGGTAGCAGGCGAAGGTGGAACCAAGTTTCCATGCGTAGTCCTGCTCTCTGATGCCGACTCGCCGGTGGCAGTCTTTATCAACAGGGATCCAAGCAAACCAATTATCAGCGGACAGCAATTCGTTTCTAAAGTGCTGCAACATTCAAACATGCCCTTGGGTGGAACTGGCATCGATGGTCTGCAGGGTTTGTAGCGGGTGGTGCGGCGCCTGCTCGTGATGCCAAGGGAGTTCGCGTTGCAACAACATGGCGTGCCACAACGTGGGGTCAACGCTGTATTGATGTGTTCGGAAATTGTGCAGCATGGCCTCACGCAGCGCCTGCCAGATAAGTGCCGGATCAAAGTCAGCTGCGACGTCCCAATGCTGGAGGCACCAACTAACGTCGTGCGATAGATGATTGCTCCAGGTTGGGTCACTTTGCAACGCGTGGAACAGATCGAGAGAAAAAAAAAGGGATGACAAGCATGTTGTTGGGACAAGCGGTCGGACACTTCTTCTGCGCGGGTGCCCACAAACCGATGTTTGGACCAAATGTAGTCGACAACATATGGCTTCTGGAATGTGAATGTAAGACATGCATGCTCGAAGTATCCCCTGAGCAATCATTTTCCTGCGCGCAGCTCGCGGGGGTCTCTGCTAGTGGGACAATGTTTGAACTGTGACCAGGGGATGGTACTGCCAGAAGACAATAATGATTCGATCTTATATCTCGCTCTGGCTTGGGCATCCCCTGGAAGCTGATCGCGTAAGCTTCAAACCAGCAAAGCGTGATCGAGGATATGTCCGTGCCTCCACATGCGTGCGAAATGCAGCCGCGAAAAACGCTTGCCAAGATAGAGGCGCAACCATAATTATTTCCCTGCATGTGCGTGAGTACATCATTGCGCTCCATGTGCAAGTGCACGTGATACCATGGCAGCAGCATGTGAAAAGGTGCAGCACTATACGACAAACCGTTTCCTCATAGATCCGTTAACGCGAAGCTGCCTGCAAATGTTGAGTTTGCATGTGTCGGCCAGGCTGTGCAGAGCTCTGAAACGAGAGAGAGGGCGCAGCTTAGTGCGCTGGCCTGTTTGTTTCTGCCCGTTGCCGCTCGTGGTAGGAGGGAGAAGGGTATCACTTGTGAGTCGTTCAAATCGTACGATGTGTTTTCCGCTTCCAAACATGGCTGGGATAGAACACAATGGCCATTCAGCAAGGCATCGTGGGCGAGTGTGATTGTTGCCGCGATTTCTAAAGGTGGCGTCGAAATGCTCCCGACATCCGCCAACGTATCCAGGGTAAGATCGGTGATTACGCATTTAAATGTTCTTTGCCTTGCCAACGTGCCAGACACTACTGGTTGTGCAAAGCGTGATGTACAACACGCCTTTGTTCGGCATTGGTGTCTCCAGACCAGGTCATGAAGTGCCAGGCAGTACTCACCAATGCTCGCACGTAAAATCGCGCTCAAGTAGCACGCGTTGGATGTGGGGGCCCGCGCTGCGAAGGGCAACTCGTGTCCAATGGCGTTGGGTATGGTAGAAATCAAATGTCTAGCTCCAAGCATCGTACCGAGGAGATCGTAAACGATCCACACTGGGTGTGATTCTTTCCCCCGAAGGAGCCATTGGCTAAGCATGCAACGCACGTTGTAGAACATGCGCAGGAATTGGTCGGATTCGCGTGAGGGCGGCTCCTGCGACCTTCGGGTCGTGGTGTGCAGGAATGCCCAGGGCCCCCCCAAAAAAAACAGAAGGAATGCCCAGGGCCCAGCATGAGGAGGAGGAGGAGGAGGAGGAGGAGGAGGAGGAGGAGGCAGTGTCTGGGTTGCTGCAGGTCGCCCACGATAAGCTGGGAGGCGAGTTTGCGCCGGGCGTGGGAACTCGGACCAGGAGCTCACGGAATATAATGGGAAGCGATATACACAGCACACAGCACGTTAAGATGTTGGCTGTAATCGGCATGCATGTTACTGCTATGAAGAGGCCTGCGAAGATCGCATGCACGATGCATGCTATGGAAATTACACCAGAGAAAAATCCCAATCAGGGGATTGTTTTCGCTGAGGAGATCGACCGGGAACCTGGGGGACCGGGAATCGCAGAACCCACCGACATCGGCCCGGAACCAATAGCCGGGAACCCAGGAACCCGGGAACCCAGCCTGCTACCAAAATCGGGCGGAAATGTTCGCCAAATCTTTCAACTTCCGCTAGGACCCCTTCAGTGCAAGCACTGATTGGGGAAAATGCTAGATGTAATCGGCATGCATGTTACTGCTATGAAGAGGCCTGCGAAGATCTCATGCACGGTGCATGCTGTGGAAATTGTTGCCACAGTTATGGCACGCCCAGCACTCTCGCTTCACTTACTTCGTCGAGACGTAGCACGATATGAAACTCATGCACGACCGTGCATTCTATCAAAGAACAATGAATTTCTGCTGGTGCTGCTGCTGCTGCTGCTGCTGGTCGGTCGGTCGGTCGGTCGGTCGACAAGGGCATCCTTACACATGAATGTGGCCCGAGCATGATTGAAGCGGCGAGGACCAGGCGGGGCGGCAGCCTGCAAAGGAAGCCGCGAGCGACTGCTGGCCCACTCCGTCTCCTGCTGCTGCTCCACCGCCTCCTCCTGCACGCCGCGCGGCATGGCTCTCCCGGCCGTGTGCTTGGCATCGCTCGGACGTGTGCACTGTTCCTTCGGCGAAGGCCATCGAGGAGCATCCTTGATCATCTGGAGATAAAAACCACGGACGAAACCGACAAAAAACACAGGGAATGGACGTCCGAGCGATGGCGAGTGTGGCCTCGCCTCCCCTCCCCTCCAGAATCTGCCGAGGCGGCGTGCCACCCGCCCGCCGGGTGGCCGCCGCCTCCGCGGGCCCGGCCCCCGTCGGCTTCAGAAGGGGGGGCAGGGCCCTGGCAGGGATAAGCATGCCCTGCCTGCTAATAGCAAGTTTGTAAGGCCAGTCGGGCCGGGCGAAAGGGGGGGATGGGGAAAGGGGGGGTACGAAATTTGCTGCATGCAGCTGGTTTCGGCTTCACCGAGGGGCCCATTCCTCGATACATAGCCGCCTCCGGCGCCGGGAGGCGCCGGGAAAATCAGCTACGTGAGCTGATTCTCAACCCCCCCCCTTTGCTATCCCCCCCTTTCGCCCGACCCGAGCCAGGAGGGCCCCGCAGGGCCAAGAGGGCGCTGCAGGGCTCGGAGGCCGAGAGGAAGCGTGCGTTGGAGCGCCAGAGGCGCCGCTCCGCGCGGCCCTCCTCGCAGGTCGGCCTCCTTCTTCGAGGGATGGGGGGGGGAGGTGGGCTTGGCATCGCTCGGACGTGTGCATTTTTCTTCCGGCGAGGGCCATCGAGGAGCATCCTTGATCATTTGGAGACAAAAACCACGCACGAAACCGACAAAAAACACAGGGAATGGACGTCCGAGCGATGGCGAGTGGGGTGTCCTGATATCCCCCCCCTCTTCTTCCCCTCCCCCCTCTCCTTCGTTGGGGGTGACCGGGGGAGGAGGGAGGGTGACGGAGGAGGGTCGTTTGGATTGGCGGTCGTCGCGAGAGTCTCCTAGGGGTTCACCACAGTTGAGGGAGGACGTGGCGGTGGTATGATGGTGGTCGAGGTGGGCAGTTGAAGTGGTGGTGGCACGCGGCAATTGTATTGGTTAGATATGCTTGGTGGCCGCACGGCAACGGCAGGCGGTGGAAGTGGTGGTAGCAGCCGTGCGGCACTGGCAGTGCGAGTGGTTCCTTGTGGCGATGAGAATGGCCGCAGCAGAGCGGCGAGGGCGGTGGCGGTGGAGGTGGTGGACGAAGACCCCCTTTCTCCCCGCAGGAGGCACATGTGTATACACAGCCACTTGGCCACCGTGCCTGGCCGGGGCCACCCCGGGGCCCCAGGGTGGGTGGGGGCGCACGGGAGCTTCCTGGTCGAGCCTTCTGTTGACTGGACGTGCACGTCAGCGCGGGCGCCCAGGACGTTCCCTGGCCAGGCACGGCAGCAGCAGTGATGCACAGGCGCCTTGTTCGTAACGGTGGGAGGACGAAGGGTTGAGCCCAGCGCTTCCTCGGCTGAGCGGCGGCGCCGGTGGTTCGAGTGATGGGCGGGCTGTTTTCCACCACCACCGCCATCAGTTGGAGGGGGGATGGTGGTGGAGGAGGAGGAGGAGGTGGAGGAGGAGGAGGAGGTGGAGGAGGAGGAGGAGGAGGAGCAGGAGCAGGAGGAGGAGGACCCCCTCCCCCTCCGACGTCTGGCGGCGGTGGTGGGAAGCAGGCCCATCACATCGAGTGCCTCGCCGGGGTGGGCCCGTGGCCGCTGCCCGTGCGCCCCTCCTCTGGGGCCTGCGCGCGCCGCACGCCTGGGCGGCCAGGGGCGGCGGGGCGGCGCTCGAGGCTCGGCGCCTCCCCCTGCGATGGAGGAACGGGGAGAGCACAGGGCAGGGGTGGTGCGGAGGATCGGGCCGGGCGAACGGGGGGGACAGGGAAAGGGGGGTCACGAAATCTGCTGCATGCAGCTGGCTTCAGCCCCACCGAGGGGCCCATTCCTCGATACATGGGCGCCTCGTGGCGCCGGGAAGCGATGGGAAAATCAGCTACGTGAGCTGATTCTCAACCCCCCCCTTTGCTATCCCCCCCTTTCGCCCGGCCCGAGAGGAGCAGTCTCCCAGGGAGAGGCTGTACCAATGGGCCGTGTCTCATGAGGCTGCTTGGAGCACCGTGTCCTTCTAGGAGGGCCGAGGATAGTATGACAGAACTTACGCTTACTTTTCGCATGGGATGCTCCCCATAGCGACCGAACGAAGAAAGCAATCAGGGAAGGAAGGCGGCCCACAGTAGGAGTAAGTCGGGCCTGTCCTTCTACAGGAGGAATATTTAAAAATAGAAAAAACAGTCTGGGGACGTGTTTTTTGTATTTTTGGCTATTCTGGATGATCTTTTTAGTACTGTTCCCTACCTAGGCTCTGCCTAGAAGGGTTCTTACTCTCTGGGCTTAAAGGGGCCGGGCAGTGCAACTCGCCCCGGGCGGTTCCCCCGGCATCCGCCCCGCGGTTCCCCCCAGTATCCGCCCCGCGGTTCCCCAGCTAAGCTTAGCTTAGTTTAGCTTAGCTTAGCATTGCTTAGCTTATGTCATCCTAGCATAGCTTAGCTTTGCCTAGCCTAGCTTAGCTTAGCTTGGCTTGGCTTAGCTTAGCTTAGCTTAGCTTAGCTTAGCCTTGCCTAGCCTAGCTTAGTTTAGCTTAGCGTAGCATAGCTCAGCCTGCCTTAACTTAGCTTAGCGCAGCGCAACATAGCTCAGCGCAGCATTAGCACAGCATAGCATAGCATAGCCAAGCATAGCATAGCATAGCTCAGCATAGCATAGCAGAGCATAGCATAGCATAGCGCAGCATAGCACAGCATAGCACAGCATAGCATAGCACAGCGCAGCATAGCACATCATAACGCAGCATTGCATAGCATAGCATACCAGAGCATAGGGCAGCATAGCATAGCATAGCATATCATAGCATAGCATGGCGCATCATATCATAGCATAGCCTAGCATAGCAAAGCGCAACGTGGCATAGCAAAGCATAGCATAACGCAGCATATCATAGCATAGCATAGCGCAGCGCAGCAAAGCATAGCATGGCATATCATAGCCAAGCATAACCCAGCGCCGATGATGCACCGATCTGAGAGTTGATGCTGCTTTACAATTTCGTAGGAACGTTCGGTGTAGCAAGTGTTGCACAACCTTGCTCAAAGCCAAGTCGTGCGGTGTAGACCGGATACGGAGCATTCTCAAGCACACCCGGTGAACGAATGCGAAAACATGCGTGTGTGTGTCTGTGCGCAGGCAAAGCAACAACAAAACCAAGCAAAAGCAAAAGCAAGCACAAAAGCAAAGCAACAGCAAAAGCAACAGCAAAAGCAAAAGCAAAGGCAAAGGCAAAAGCAAAGGCAAGAGCAAAGGCAAAGGCAATGCAAAGCAAAAACAAACCAATGCGACAGTGTAGATGTAGATGTAGGTGTAGGTGTAGATGTGGATGTAGGTGTAGATGTAGATGTAGATGTAGATGTAGCTGTATATGTAGGTGTGTATGTAGATGCAGATGTGAGTCTCGCTGTTGATGTGGATGTAGACGTATATGCATGTGTAGATGTACATGTAGCTGTCGGTGTAGATGTAGGTGTTGCTTTCTTAAATGCTCCAATTCCTAGGTAGGGTCGCACCGGGATGATTTTCATTTTTCGTCCAAAATTCCCTGTGGGGGGACACGCCCGATTTGAAACTCGAGGCTCGGCGCCTCCCCCTATCTCCTGCGGAGGACGCCAGCCCGTACACCAAAAGCACGGCTTCTGGTCGGGCCAATCCTGGTCTTAAGTCTGGCCTGTCCCTCTACAGGAGGACTATTCCACAATAGTAAAAAATAGTCAGGGGACGATTGTGTTCCTACGATTGAGCACGTTTGTTGATTATTCTTTGGGGCATTTTGAATTGTTCGTCCAAAATCCCCCTGCAGGGGTACACGCCCGACGTAACGCTCGAGGCTCGGCGCCTCCCCCCTTCTCCTGCGGAGGACGCCGGCCCGCACACCAAAAGCGCGACTTCTGGCCAGGCCAATCCTGGGCCCGCAGGGGCAACGGTAGGGGGGATAGGCATAGGCATAGGGGGGGATAAGCATAGGGGGATAGGCACACAGTGCGGGCACGTCCGCAAGAAACCCTCGCAAGACACCCAACCCTGAGAACCCGTGCGCGAGTTGCACCTGAAGGGGGAACCTGGAGCACCCTGAACGCAGCAGCTCCTTCCACGGCTGCGGGAAGTCGCCGCGCAGCGCGAGGAACGAAGAAACCCAGGATACCTTGGCGAAGAGCATATGGTTTCTTGATGCGGGCCCCCACTGTAAGGGGGACGTATCGATCCCCAATCGCCCATTGATCGCCGATGGGGGCCCGATAGCCCCAACCCGCCCAGGAGGGTGCAGATTCATTATCGGGGGCCTATCGCCGATCCATCGGGGATGTACCGCCGATCCCATGTCGATGCGTCCCCAACCATGCCAGTCCCTCCCTATCGTTGCCCCGCAGGCCCAGGATCGGCGCGTACGCCTTCCTGCCTTGGCGAAATGAGAGAGTGCAGCAGGCGCGTCAGATGAGGAGCCAGGCTGCCAGCAGGTGCCCCCACGGAGATGTCTGATGCCCCCGTGGCCCTCGGGGACCCACAGGAAGCTATGGAACACTATCGCAAGTATATACTCGTATATGGGAATCGAGATATCGGGAGATAGGAGTCGAGATATCGCCCCCCGTATTTGTTGTAGCAGATCTCTTACTAAGTATTGTGCGAGCCCTGTTGCGTGCAAACCCATCCTGGGCCTACTCCCCCACTTCGCAGAAGAATTGTCTGCGCACTCCGCGTTTCTTAGTAAGCGTCGGGTGGGGGCGTCACACCCGCCGACAGCCCCACATCGACCCCCGTCGCGGGCAGCCACCGCGCGCCGAAGGCGCTCCGACCCCCGTCGCGGCGCGACGACGAGGCGAGGTCGACCCCCGTCGGGGGTGTACACATTGTTCATGTCTAAGTATTCGAAAGTTCTTTGATTTTTTTGGGGGCCAAGATCCTTTCATTTCTCATTGTGTTCTATCCTGGGCCTTTTCCTGGCCACTAGGGGGCCAGGAACAATTGGAAACGAGCACAAGTAGACATGAGCACGATTAGAAATGAGCGGCGTGTACACTCCCAACGGCCCGCCCGGATATCTTGGGTTGGCGCTGGGCGCCCCCTCTGAGGCGACCTTGGCGCCCGCTCTGGCGCGCTTCACGCGCGAGGGAGGGGGTACCCAGCGCCCATCCAAGAAATCTGAGCGGGCCGCCGAATCGCTCGCTCCCCACTCCGCTCTCGTCCTTCGTCGCTGCTGGTCCCTTGGCCTCCTTCCTCTCTGTCCTCTCCCTGCTCTCTCCCTCCTGCCCCCCCTCCTGATCCTCCCCCCTCCGTCCCCGCACGTCCTCCCGACCTCCCGCAGCCATCTTCATCCTCCCTCCCCTCTCCTCCAGCCTCCGTCTGCCCTCCCTCCCTCCTGCCCCTCTTCCTTGCGTCCTTCGTCCTGGCGTCCTTGGTGTCCGTGCAGAAGTTTTTAGTCTGACTACTATTATGCTTGCTGCAGCGCTGCCCAGTCTCGACAAGCCGTATGCTTCAGCGAGGAGCCAATCCCCCCCCAGAAAATCCCTCATGCCCCTCTTCGGCGTGCTGCGCATGCCGCGGCGGTGCCTCGACGAGGCCTCCCGGAGCGCGGGACCATCCGTCCGGAGGTGCCCGTGGCCGCCCACGGGGTTACGTCGGGCCTGTCCCTCTACAGGGGGGGTATCAAAAAATAGTTTCTAAAAAAGATAGTCGGGGAACTATTGTTATTCCATGTTTGGCTTATTTTGGAGTATCTGTTTTGTGCCTAGCCTAGCCTAGCCCAGCATAGCATTGCGCAGCATAGCATAGCACAGCAGAGCAGAGCAGACATTGCGTAGCATAGCATAGCATAGCATAGCGCAGCACAGCATCCACGATTGCTGCTGCTAGGAAAGCAACTTACTTACGGCGTGGCGTCGGCGGTTCTGGCGCGATTACTACTACTTACTACTACTACTACTACTACTAATACTACTACTACTACTACTACTACCACTACTACTACTACTACTACTACTACTACTACTACTACTACTATTACTACTACTACTACTACTACTACTACTACGACTACTACTACGACTACTACTACTACTACTACTACTACTACTACTACTACTACTACTACTACTACTACTACTACACTACTGCTACTACTACTACGCTACTAACTACGACTACTACTACTACTACATACTACTACTACTACTACTACTACTACTACTACTACTACTACTACTACTACTACTACTACTACTACTACGACTACGACTACTACTACTACTACTACTACTACCACTACCACTACTATACTACTACTACTACTACTACTACTACTACTACTACTACTACTACTACTACTACTACTACGACTACTACTACTACTACTACTACGACTAACTACTACGACTTACGACTACGCGACTACGACTACGACTACTACGACTACTACTACGACTACTACTACTACTACTACTACTACTACTACTACTACTACTACTACTACTACTACTACTACTACTACTACTACTACTACTACTACTACTACTACTACTACTACTACTACTACTACTACTACTACTACTACTACTACTACTACTACTACTACTACTACTACTACTACTACTACTACTACTACTACTACTACTTACTACTACTACCTACTACTACTACTACTACTACTACTACTACTACTACTACTACTACTACTACTACTACTACTACTACTACTACTACTACTACTACTACTACTACTACTACTACTACTAC